TCTCTTCATCATGCTACTCTCTCTCTCCTCCCTCCTCTCTCTCTCTCTCTCCCCTTTTAATTTATAGTTGGATCTCAACTGATTCTTTCATGACTTGTGCTGATGTTCCCTTTTTTTTGAGCAGGAATATGTAGTATTAATTTATTGGTTACAAAAAACCTCTCTTTTTATTTTGCCCCAATTTCCTTGACCATTATGTTATGCCATGAAAAGTCAGTATCTTAGTTTCAGGTTTTCCGCTTTTTTTTTTTTTTTTTTCATTTTCTCTTACATTTCCAATTGTATGCAATTTTTGGATTTCTCATTTTTTTTTATATTGTCAACTATGCTTCTTCATACCTATTATATATTCTTTATGGTGCCTTTTTCATGATAGGAATCATATTCGTTAATTATTATGTCATGGATGGATCTAATGATTAGCATTGTTTTATAGAATCTATTATATGATCAATGTGCACCTTAAGAGAGGATCTTATCAAAGATGAAGCCAATAGATTAAAAGAAACATAGTAAGGTTGAAATTTGAGATCCTACCAGTGTTGCGCACATCAGTGTTAGTGTCCATCGACTGTCGTAGATGTATAATTCTTTGACCTGATAAATCGATACTCGTCGACAAGTCTGTTCAATCGATTTTATAAATAACGTTTTGTGTTTTACTAGTATATATGATAATTTCCTATATCATTTCACATGTGAAGCTGGTGGGAAGGTAGTAGAGCTCACAATAGTAGTCCAATATTGCCTGAGTTAGGTGGAAGAGCTCACAATAGTAGTCCAATAATGCCTGCGTTTGAACCCTATGGAGGGTTGACCCTTGTAAACATGCTACACCATCATAGATTGGAGCCTTGGTGTAAATCTGGAACCCAGTGTCATCGGCAAGGCCCATCTCTATATTTTCGAGAAAATCTATTAAGGGTCTGGTCATTTATGCATTTATATATCCAATTTTTGTCATGGATCACATATATACTGTCACATTTGATCCTAACTTTTTCTGTGTATTTTGTTTTCTGGCATGCCTTCTATCTAAACAGGGTAACTTATGTCTCTTCTTGGACATTTAAATGACTATAACAAAAGAAAATTTGAGATTGAGATATCGATTTTCTCTTTTCATGCTGCCATTTTTCTAATTTAGTATTTTTTAGCGGTAATATTTAACAAGTTTTGCTTTCTTGGTCTTAGTCCTATATCTCTCTCTCTTGTAACTCTACTACTGATAACATGTAACTGACCATTTTTATGAATCATGTTCAATGGTCTTCTTTTCATGGTGTTCCTGGGGAGCATTTTTATGAGTGTTTTCTTGATTGCTAGTTTTTTTTGTTTTTGGAATGGTTGAGTTTGGACATATCTTATAATGCTCTGGTTAGATTTTTAGATTGCCAATATGTGGCCTAACAATGAAATTACGCAGGTGAACGTTCCGAAGACTAAGAAGACCTACTGCAAGAACAAGGAATGTAAAAAACATACCTTACATAAGGTTACACAATACAAGAAAGGCAAGGACAGCCTGGCTGTTCAAGGGAAAAGGCGCTATGATCGGAAGCAATCTGGTTATGGAGGTCAGACTAAGCCAGTTTTCCACAAGAAGGTAATTTCAAAATGGCTATGGAAATTCTTTGTCCTGGTTTCATATGTGTGAGTTTAGCGTTTGGGGTGCATTTTTTGTGACATTATTGTCACCTTTCTCAGGCTAAAACAACTAAGAAGATTGTGCTTAGGCTGCAATGCCAGAGTTGCAAACATGTTTCTCAACACCCAATCAAGGTGAGCCTATTGAAGGTTTACCAGTGAATGTTGAATAATTAGTAGAGTTTCATTCTTTGTTTGCTGCTTCATTCGCTAATTTGAGAACTGGTTTCGCAGAGGTGCAAGCACTTCGAGATTGGTGGCGACAAGAAGGGGAAGGGAACCTCACTATTCTAGTTTAGGATATTTGTCCTGGCGCGTTTGATGCTTTCTTTTTAATATGAAGTAAACCTTGTTTTTTTGTTAGTTTTGTTGAACTTCTTGTTGCTTTTGAAGTCAGACAGTTTCTCGGTAATTCAGAGAAGTCTCTTGGAAGATGTAGCTCATTTTCGGTTTTCATTTGAAGATGATGTTCAATTTTATAGAAGTCACCATAGAAATTCAAAAAATATGAGCAACGGAAAAATGCCTTTAATACTTTGATGGTAGGGCCTTGAATGGCAAGGAGTTTAACTTCTCTCCAAAAAAAAACATAGGGAATTATACCTATACATGTAAAAATTCTCTCCCTCCCTCTCTCACATATTCCAATGTAGGTAAATTTTGGAATCCTATCTATCTCTATACGGTTGAGGGGTTTAGGAAGGAAATATGATGACATATAGCAAGTTTCTCTTTCTCTTTCTCCAATATTCATGTCTATATTAGCATGTATATTAAAATATTAAAATAATACATGTATTAATAAAATATATTTAAAAATATAGA